AAAAAAAAATGCTCGATTTCCCTCCGTTGTCGTAGTGAGACTCTTGCTAACCTCCACTTTATAGGATCAAGATGGTTCGCATATCAAAGGCCTGGTCATAAACTTCATTCATCACAACTGGCCAAGTCTTATACAGAGAAATTTCGTGGAAGAGTTTATTACTCCCATCGTCAAGGTATGGTTTTCTCGTAGTCGCTTTTTCCTCTTTTTTCAACGAATTGCTCGGTTTGAATTTAGGCAAGTAAAGGAAAGGAAGAACTATCATTCTTCTCTATTCCTGAATATAATGAGTGGAGAAACAATACAGAAAACTGGAAAACGTTCAAGATCAAGTACTACAAAGGATTGGGTAAGCCTCAACCAGCATTCACAACTACTGTTCTTTCTGTATGGTTCCGCCACAGGTACTTCAACCTCGAAAGAGGCAAAGGAGTACTTCTCCGACATGGTACGCCATCGTATCCGCTTCAAGTATGGTGGAGCAGAAGACGATACCGCGGTCGATATGGCGTTTTCCAAGAAGAAGATTGAGGAGCGAAAGGTAAGCTTGGTCATTTTTACACTTTAGCCTGAAAATGTCGCAATTTGTGCAGGATTGGCTGACAAAATGGATGGCAGAGAAGAAAGAACGTCGTACTAGAGGACTGGAAGAAGAGTATCTTTACAATAAGGATACTCGTGCTGTGACATTCAGTGATTTTGTGAACAAGGTAAGGTTTATGATATTGGGCACACACCATAGTTGATCACGTGATCCATTCATCACTTTGCTATTGGTCAAATCAATGAGCTGACCAATAGCGAAGTTTATCAAGTGGATCAAGTGGCCATCCGCTTTGGTATTGGCCAATTCACTGATTTGACCAATAGCAAGTGAATGATGTGGGTTAAACGGATCAACTATGCCGCGTGCCTTTTTGGAGTCAGTTTATCAGACTTCATACTTACTGTTATGCCGTGCTTACAGGAATTGGTTCTTTTCTCAAACACTGACAATGAGCGTTCAATTCCCAGTCTTGTTGATGGCTTCAAACCTGGTCAGAGAAAGGTTAGCTTCATTTATTCAAACTAACCCATATATGTTTGCCCTAAAGTACAATTCTAGGTCATTTTCGCGTGCTTCAAGCGTGCTGACAAGCGCGAAGTGAAAGTTGCCCAACTGGCCGGAGCTGTTGGTGAACTGTCCGCCTACCATCATGGAGAAGCATCGCTGATGGGTACCATTATCAACTTGGCCCAGGTCAGTTGTAATTATCTTGTCTATCTACTCTACACTGCTCAAATCCTTTCTCTGTTCAGGATTTTGTTGGATCGAACAACATAAACTTACTGCTTCCCATTGGTCAGTTTGGTACACGATTACAAGGAGGAAAGGACAGTGCCTCTCCTCGTTATATTTTCACGCAGCTCAAGTAAGTGGTGCTATTTTGTGTGTGGTGATGTGACTGACATGACTTTCATTTTTAGTCCTGTCTCTCGAACAATTTTCCCCGTGTTCGATGACCATATCCTTCGCTTCCTCTTTGAGGAAAATCAGAGAATTGAACCTGAGTGGTATTGCCCCATCATACCAATGGTATTGGTCAATGGAGCTTCAGGTGAGAATTTGTCTTGCCGGATTTCAGGTTGACTTGTTGTAGCAAAAATTTCTGTTTGTAGGTATTGGTACGGGATGGTCGACATCCATACCCAACTACAATCCTAGGGAGATCTGTGAAAATATTCGTAAACTAATCAGAGGAGAGCAGCCGAAGCCAATGGTAGGTATTTAGGCAAATATGGTTACTTCTGAATCATCCTTCCCCTATCTGACTCATGGATGATGATTTTGGTTGTAGGTCCCATGGTTCAAAGGTTTCCGCGGTACCATCGAGAAGCTTGATTCAACCAGATTTGTGTGCTCTGGTGAAGTTGCTGTGCTTGGCGATGACGTCATTGAAATCACAGAGCTTCCCATCAAAACTTGGACCCAGACTTATAAAGAATCTGTCCTGGAGCCTATGCTTGACTCTAGTGATAAGAAGACACC